CTATTGTTTTAGTAGGACCCTTAGCTATTGCCTCCGCGGGCACTACGATTGCCGCGGTTAGTGCTAGCTAGTCGGATCCTCGATTCTAGTCGTTACTAGAGCTAAACAGCCCGCTCGGCTATTTCTACTTCGACTATAAATTAAATACGTATTAGGTTAGCCTATTTAAACACACGGCGGCGGTCTAATTTAAGGACTAGTTCCTATCTTAGTTTAGGTCGTATCTTAGATATCTAGATAGAGTCGGTTTTAGGTAGCAAATCGTCCTTAAGGGTCTTTAGATAGGCCTCGAAGGATCGAGAGGTTTAGTCGGCCTTTTGTTTAGTATGTAGGTATTAGTCTTAGGCGTGCTGCTAGCGCAATATAGGGTTACTAAGGGTGTTCAATATGATAGTCTTATAGTCTTGCTATTAAACAGCGGTCTAATTATTAAGAGAGTCAAAATAGTTATCCTAGGTGCGTTTTAGGTCGCTATTAATGTATTGCATAGCGTAGACGACTAATAAATAGTTATCTAGTAGGGCCCTTAGTACATTCCGCTAGTTTAATTTACAATTACGTATATGATTATTGTACTGCTTGCGGCTAGAGCTATTAAACACAGTGCAATCCTTAAGTTTAGCATCCTTCTTTTAAATAGCTAGTAAGGAAGGTCCTACTATTAGCTTAGCATTAGTTGCTAAGGCTTCCTATAGGCGATAAATTTCGAGGAGGTTATCCCTTAGCTATTGTTCTTAACGTAAGGCAGTAAGCCTGTTCTAAGTAGCTTTTTAAAGTCTCGTTATCGGCTAGGGCCCGAAGGCTAGTTAGCTATATCGTCGATTAACAATGTTGTTAAGAATGTCGTTAATAGGCAATTCTAGATTATTACCTAGAACTATAGGCTCTTTAGCAGGCCTAGTAGTAGGCTCTTTAGCAGGCACCCCGGCAGGTGCTTTAGCAGGCACTTTAGTAGGTACTGTGCTACTAGCGTTGTCGTTGCTAGCGCTGCTAGCGGTAGTACGGTTGTTGTTTCGTAATAAACTGGCTATTGTAAGGGGTAGTACCGATAATATATTATAGCCCCTTATAGTGCGGATGTAGCGGAATTAGCGAGTATCGGCCTAATGTGCTTAACTTAGTATAATAGGCCGTGTAGAAGGCCTTGCTTAATGATTAGTACGGTTGTTTTAGTAGAATAGTACGTATAGGTCCTGTTCTTCGGGCGTAATATAGTTAGATTAGTCTTTTTCGTAGCTATATCGCTAAAAGCTTAAAATAAGGACTATCTAGCTACTACCCTTAAAGGGTAGATCGAATACTATATAAGAAGGGTTATGTTAGCAGGTAGATAGGGTAGTAGTAGGTATAGGTAGTATTCGATAAGGATCTAGGAGGAGAGGGAGGAAGGCAGGAGAGTTAGCCTAACGCTAGGCGCTAAGCCCTGCCTAAGGCACTAAGACCCTAGCTTTACTCGGCCTAATTATATGCTAATTACGTATAGCCTCTTTAGCTCTAACAAAACGCGTCGTACTAAAAGAATTTTCAATTTGCCGAGTACGATTCTACTATAAACAATGCCGCGAAGCGAGCCCGACTTAACTTATATACGATCTAAGGTAGTAACTAGAGCGCCGAACAAGCCGACGATAGATCGATACTAGAAGGCATATAGTAAGACGTAAATAAAGAAGGCATAATAGAAGCTATTCTAGCAACGACATTAACGCTAATAGTACTAGCGCTATAGGAAGATAAGGGAAGTATAGATAGCATTAAATAGGATAGATATCTTAAATTACCGGAATTCGATATATAGGATAGCCTAGCGGACGAAGACGAAATAGAAAGCGTATAAGCAACTGCCGCCGGAACGATAATAACGCTAGGAAGCTAGAAGTTAATAAGATTACGGCTAATACTAAAAGGCTACCGTACCGCGGATAATATCGATATATTTACCGAATATACTAGCCGTACCGCTAGCAAGCCTATAGCTAGGTATAGCATAATTACAGTTTGGTATAGTAGAGTAAATACAAGCGCTTAATCTATAAGTAGCGTTAAAATACGAATATAAGATACTTCGGGCGAGTACGGAACATTTAAGTTACTATTCGATATAAGCTTTACGTAATTCTTAAAGAGAGAGAGAATATCTAGATATATAATTGCGAGGCTTTTCGAAGACGAGAGGCTAGCACTACTATACGATCTACTAAGCTAGAAAAGCATAAAGGCTATAACGTCGAAACTGCGAGCCGGCGGCATACTACTATCGAGGGTATTAGGTTAAATAAAGGTTCGAAAGCTATACCTTCCGACAAGTCGAACGGGTTACGGCAGCACGGAGCTAGTACTACGATACCGATCCGTTAAGAAAGCAGTAATATTCTTAATAGGTTATAGTAGCTTTAGGAATAATCTAGTATATAAGCTATATCGAGCGTAGACGACTAACGACCTACTACGGCGAATCTACTCTAATATAGCGTTAGTAGACTAGTAGTAGGATACCTAGAGCAAGATAAATATAGACGGCGCAACGATCGTACCTCTAATCGTATTAACCGATAAAACGCAGATAACTAACTACTAAGGTAACTTAATAGCATACCCTATATACCTTACTATCGGAAACCTATATATACGAGTACGCAACGCGAACAACAGACCCGGCACGATCTTACTAGGACTACTACCGGTCGTTAAGGATAGCGATAGTTTTACTAAAAACAGTATATATTATATATCGATAGTATATATATTTCGCTCCGCTATAAAAGCGGCCGACGGCGAGAGCTAGGACATTATATACGTAGATAGCGCGACGCGTAGGTACTTTCTAATCTTAGCAGTAATGTTAGTAGACTATAAAGAGCAAGTTACAATTACCGGAGTTAAGACAAATATACATTGCCTAAGTTGCCTAGTATATCCGATAGAACGAGAGCACCTCGATATTATAGTAGAATAGCGGTTATACGAATCTACGAAGTAGCGATATCTAAGGCAACGCAAAGGCGAATATATAGCGAAGGATCCGTAGAACGTCTACGATATCGATTGCTTTATATAGCGCTAGAAACACGTCGATATATACCGGTCTTTAGTAGTAGACACACTATACTAGCTACTAAAAGGAGTACTAATGTACGCAATCTAATAGACTACGGACCTACTAGTAGACAAGATAAGCTATATAAAAACGAGGAGATACCGACTAGTTGCCGACTCGACCCTAAATAGGGGCCTATCTACTAAAATAAGAAAGCTAGGGAAAACAGTAGTATAAGGGATTATCGATACGATACTAGATAGACGGTTCGCGTATATACCCGTATATACTAATCTTCGCAAGTTCTACTACTACTTAGCAGTTACTTAGTAGACAGGCTAAGAGTAGCAAAGCGTCCTACGAGTCTTATTAGTTGTATTTATACTACTACTCGAAGAGGTCCGTTAACCGTAGGCGATAAGATTTCTACGTATACTAGTAGACTTTACCGTTCTAGCGATATATAGATGCTATAACGACGAAATATTTAAGTATCTTAGGATAGTATTGTACCGGATAAACGAATAGAAGAATGTATTTCGCCTATATAGGGTAACAAAGGTATAGAAGAGGGCCTAGCGGGAGGCGAAGGCTACTACGCGAAGAACGAACGACCTAAATAACGACGATACGGTTACAATAGACGAGGACGACGAAGCTAACGAGCTAATAATAACATAAATAGAAGGGCACTTTAATATACCGAAATTCTACGATATAACACATACCCCGAGCTATATTAAGACGTTCGGCAATCTTCTAGACTTAAATACTAGCTATTTCGAGTACAAACACTATAAACTACTAAAGCTTGCATTTCGGCTAACAAACAAGAAGCCTAGCTAGGAAGAAAGTATACTAGATAGCGATACTAACAGATTAAATATGCAGGCCGAAGACGATAAAGAATATATAGCAATCCCTATAAATGCTCGCACTATTAAGGAGTATACGCAACAGCTAATAATGCTAACTATAGCACGGCTAGTAGAGGATATCCTAGGATACTAGCCTAAGAAATAGAGGAACGGAAAGAAATCGGTTAAGTAGATTACGATAAGGGAGGCTATAGCTATAATAGAAGAGAACTTAGGTCGCGACTTCTAATAAGCGATTGCGGTATTCGTGCGGCAATAGGGTGCCTACGATAAGAATAGCGCATTAAGCACCGTAGCCGACCCTAACGATATCGTAACAGACTATATATACGTCCTAGATATAGAGATCTGCTTCTACGGTAGAATCCGATACTAGAAGCCTACGGGTAAGGATATAGAACATTCTAACGTAGTAGTAGCCGACTTCGCGAGATGTATACTAAACTAGGAGGGGCTCTACGGCAACAGACGTTATAATTTTATATAGGTATAGGAATACAACGTTAATTATATAGAAACACCTAATAAATTAGCGGTTCGATTCGGCGGTCGCCTACTAGCTTAACTAAAGTACGTAATCTCGATTAATATAGAAATAGGAATCAAATATAGGAAGGGGCTTAGGACGAAACGGAGGCCCGTTATAGGCGTTTTTATTAAGCTTTACGACTATATTAACGATAAGAGCGAGTATAAGGATACGTATAGTCTAACGACAATCCGGCTACGGAATGTGGTTGTCA